GTGTGCTTTACTTCTTAATTACATCTCCAGCCCTTTTAATTTTTTTGAGACATGGTCTCTCTAAGTTACTGAGAATCTTGCTAAATTGCTGGCCTCCAACTTGTGATGCTCCTGTCTCATCCTTAGCCTATCACTGGAATTTCAGGTGTGTACCACTACACCTAGTCTCCTGCATTGGATCTGGGCTATTTCATTAGCATTAGATCAAACTGAAGTGATAGGAGACTGAGTAGATCTTATCACCTAAGACTGATACAAATAGAATTAAAATTTTTGAAATTTGTATTTCTTAGCAGTTTTAAAAATAATTATATTTGCTTCAAGGCAATTATTTTTTGTTTTGTTGTTTTGTTTTTGTGGTGCTGGGGATTGAACCCAGGGCCTTGTACTTGCAAGGCAAGCACTCTACCAACTGAGCTACATCCTCAGCCTAATGGCAGTTATTTTAATTTATTAATAATAAAAATCATCAAAAATTTTTGATAAATGCATTTCTAATTTAATCACTGTGTTAGGAGGCTGAGGGTATATGTAGCTCAGTGGTAGAGCACTTGCTCATTATATACAGGGTGCTGGGTTTGATCCCTAACACTACAAAGAAAAAGAAAAAAAAGTAAATAATCACCTTTTTATTAAAACTATGTGTGTATCTTTTCCTAGAAAATTTAAATATCTGGTAGTGTCCCTGATAGTTCGCTATTATGCCCTGAAACATTTCAGTGCACAGTTTGGGAATTTCAGTTCTGCATTATGCAACCTGCTCATGGCTGTGTCGCTCAGTAAATGTTTCCTTTAAGAAGAAAAAAAAAACCAACCTTATTACTCTCTTATATAAAACACATATAGGTTGAAGGAATACATGGTGTTAATTCTCATTTATATGGAAAGATAGTACTTAAAATTAAGCAGTCATTTTTTAGAAATCTATGGCCTTTGTGAAAAATGTAATTAATATGACAAGTGAACCTTTTGTTTTTGCAAAATTATTCTGAAAGTGTTATTCATGTAAATAAAATCATGGATATTTGAAAACTGTCCTTTTATAACATTGTGATATATTTTCTTGAGAACTTTAGTGAAAATTTTATTATTTGATTAATTTGATTTTCAGGATTCTTTGGAAAAAAATGTTGCTTCACCCAAACTTCTTTATAATTACATGTGTCATAGTTGTTAGAATGTGAGGGGTCTGAATTCTGACTTTTTCTCTAACCAGTCTAAGGCAAAACTGATCATAGGTAGCTAGTGCTCTTGTCAGTGATTAGTTTAGGGTGATTGGTAACCCTGTGGCTAATTAGATACAATGGGAAAGTCAGGGGTGGGGAAAGATTTCCTTACTGATACTAAACACTGCATACTGCTGTATTGCCGTTGTCTTAGTGTGATGTTCTGAACTTTGCTAACTTGTTCAGTGACCATGAGTAGAGAGGTAGTTGAGGACAAAGCTAGGAGACTCAGCACAGCATAGCAGAAGGAGTCCTTGAGGACGATGTTGAATTAAACAGTCCTTGAACAAGTCTGCCTTGTCTCTCTGTTTATATATGTGTTAAATACTCTTAGCTGATAAAGTTATTTCGATTCCTTAACTGTAGATGCTATTCAAACTGAAGCAAAAAACTCAGGACCTTTGGGGGATTGCAGTATAAGTAATCAAATGTGTTTTGAAAAACATAAGTGATTCTGTTCTCATCTTCCTTCTAATCCTTTCCCCCCATTGAGAACTTTTAGAATAAGTTATGAAACTGAATTAAAGGATTTGGTGAATGATCGTTTACATGGAGAGGCCAAGGAAAAAAGAGGTGTCTAGATGACTACCATGTTTTAGGCTTAGGTAACCGGGTAGATGGTACTGTCATTCTAGATAAAAAGCACTATATAACTCAAAGAACAACTTGTTTTGTACATAATGTGAGGTATCTGGGACTATCTGGAAAGTGATACCAGAAAGTTGGTAGGCATATAGTCCTGGAGTTCAAAGATATGTCCAAAGTATAAGATGAAGAGTAGTTATAGTTTTGAAACCCTAGGTATAGATAAGGTGCAGAATACTCCTTAATGAGTAGGGAAGAGAAAAATATGGAACTTCAGACAACACTAGTATTTCAATATAGAGTAGGAGGTTGAGGAGGAAGAAAAAATGATTACTGATATCCACAATGAAAAATCTCATTTCGTGTTAGTTTTTCTTTCTTTTTTTTCCCCAGAGAAATTCTGATACCTTTGTAGTTATGGAACTTACTGTTTTTTTAAAAGGCGAATTCTTTCTGAAATGCTTGTTTTTACTTGATCAATTTGTAATGTTAAATGGTAACCTCATAGAATAAAAAGCTAGCACTATCAGTTAATTCTCTTCTCTTTTATAAGATTGATATAGGACCAAGAAATATATAAATTTTCATTAGTCCTTGTCTACAGTCATTAATATAATAGATGTCTTGTTTTTAAGATTTAAACATACATTTATTATTGTTGCTTGTATTTTACTATGCATAGTTTTGTATTCTGTTCTATTCCTTTTGTTATTTCTGTTTTTATCATTTGATATGTGTTAGCTGATATGTTCTTTTATATAAGAATAATATATTCAGGAGAGTTAGGAGTTCTGGAACTTCTAAATAAGGAAATTGGCTAAGGAAATTAAAAAAAAAACGAAAGCCTGTAGAAACAGGAAACTGATAACTTCTAGAAAGCATTGCCTTAAACCTTTCATGTAATCTGTGAATGCAAATCTAGAATTGTGTGTGCATGCATATGTGTCATATTAAAAACTGTGTGGTGGAAGTATCAGCCATTTATAAGCATTTTCCCCAATAAATGTAGAAATAAAATTTTCAATTAGCGCTATTGCTAAAAGCGTTGAAAAAACTGTTTGAATATTTATTCCTCCCTCCAACTCTCTTTCTTTTCTTTTACAACTTTAGTTTGAATAGCACCTGTAATTAAGGAAGAAAACCCAGCCCTGGGAGCTAGGTAGGACTTCCAGCTATTGATCTGTGTAAACCCTGCTTATACTGTCAGGGGAGAAACAGTCAACTGCTGAGCTGCTTTGTCACTGACATAAGCTGAGAGAGGATTTTTTTGTCTATACTGTTTATACACTAGTCTATAGACCTGCTGGCTGGTTGAATTTTAAAGAGTGCGGAGGTTTAAAGACTTGTCCCCTGAGGGATGCTTCTGCCAGTTGGGAAGCGAGCTGAGGCTGTTTTGCAGAAGTGTGTGCATGTGTGTTGCTTTTGGAAAAAAGGAGGGGGGTGGTGTGAAAGACTGAGCAACTAACTGAGAAGCTTCCTTCTTAATTTGAGTCTTAACATTGATGTGACATATATGACTAATTTGGATATATTTATAGGTGGACACTGGATTTAGACTATTATAGAAATTACATATGCAGTTTTGTAGGAGGATATCTGAATAATATTCATGTCTGTAGTAAACTGAATGGCTTCATTTGATGCAGCACAAGTTAAAGATTAAGCAACAGTCAAGTAAAAATAAACTATTCTTATTTGTGATGAACTATTTTTTAGTAATTTACTTCCAGTTTGGTGACTCCTGTAATTAAGTTTAACAATATATTATCAGTAGTAAAATAGCTTTCTCCAGATATGGGGCCTGTGCTTTTGCATTTAAAGGCCCATGCTCATAAGGAAGCCTGGGTACAATGCCCTTAAGGGTAGAAGTGTACTGTTTTTTTACACCAGGCTTTTCTTTTTTGCTTCCGTGAGTTAAGGCTCTTGGAGCTTTCTTAGATCTTGATATAGGAATTCTACAATGTTTTATTATTGTTATTCTATTGCAGTGTACACTTTGAGAGAATTCAAGAC